ACTGATACAGAGGAAAATATAAATGAAGCACTAGTTTTCTAGCAGGCAAAACTGCTGTTTTCTTCTAATCATCCCTGATGATGGCTCATTCCTCCTTTGCTTGGAAGCAGGCTTCACTGTTTACCAGCACCTTGGTTATAAACCCAGGAAACAGAGGCATTGTTTGCCATCCGGAAACTGAGCTCCTGTGCCCTTAGCTCCATAATCTCTCTTATTATGACAAACATAGCAGCACCAATGCAAATTCTCCATAATTAGAATAATGGGATTAAACTTCTTTTATATCCCCAAATTCTAGAGTGGATCTCAGGTGTGTTTTAAGCTGAGCAATTTGTCCATGGTTTGTTTCTTGGTCAGAGCCTGCCCCCTTAAGTCTGATAAGGGAAGTACAGTACAGCCTCACTGCTTTCTTACAAAAGGCAAATTCTTTCCATTCAACCACTTGGAAGGAAATAGATTTGGGGTTTTTACTGAAATCTGCATCCATTTGAAGAACATTCTAGATGCTACAGAGTGACAATATCTCAGCATCTTTATTTGTTCCGGAAGCGATAGAGAAAGTAAGAGAATTAATCTTTCTTAAAGTAGCTATTTACAGATCTGGAAACACTTACACAGGGCCATGAAAGGTCAAAAGACAATTCTTATGTATTCAGATTTCCCACAGTGGAATTTCTTATTCTAAGTGCCTAGGATAGTAATGCATCAATGGCCTTCAGGTTTCAAATTCAAATGGTCTAATTGGGGTCCTTATTTCTCTGACTCGCAGCTATATTTAACCTATTGCTGTCCATGAAATATTCTTTGGAATGTTTCAAGTCCCTCTTCACATGTTTCTCCTAGCAGGGGACAAAACTGGTTTCCCTCCTACCTCACAGGCTGCTCCTTCTCATTCCCCATTATTGGACCCTTCTCTTCTCTCTATCTCTTAAATGTTGGTGTCTGATAAGGGCCTCCTCAATTTTCCACAAGTACCTGCCAGGGGATCTCCTCTGGCTCTGTGGCTATAAATGCCACATTTATGCTGATGACCCTCCAGGCCACATCTTCCCCTGAATAGTAGGCTACAATACTCAATGGCTCTCTGACATCTCAAACTGGCTGTCTCACAGGCATCTCAAAGTCTTAGAGCGGCTAACCAGTGCCACCTAAGCTTACAGAGCACCAAAGCCTCGGAGGTCTAGCAAATGAAGCAAAGTGCCTTATAATTTTAATGTATTCATGTTCCTTAATTCACACACACACACACACACACACACACACACACACACACAAACACTTTTATTTGTATTTAACCAAAGTCAGATGGATATGGTTTTAACAGCTAAATAATTCTTATAATCCTCTGTCTCTTAGAGACAAATCTCTTTAAACTGATTACTTCTATTTATTTCCATATTTAAAAAATAATTAAAATTCTCCTTCTTGGTTTTTTTTTTTTTTCAGAATTGATAGGAGAGAGCAAGCATTAGGCTGACAGTCTCATCCAATAAGAAGCAAGTATATATATATATTTTTTGTTCTTTTTAGATATACATAACAGTAGAATGTATTTTGGCATATTATACTTACATGGAGTGTAACTTCCCATTTTCGTGGTTATACATGATGTGGAGTTATACTGATCATGTATTCATACATGAATAGGAAAGTTATGTCCGATTCATTCTACTGTCTTTCCTATTCCTTTCCTATTCATTGGACTGGTGTCTCTCAGTCCAATGTCCCATATTTCCCCACATATAACCTATTGCTAGGATGGTGGAAGAGACAGCTATTTGAATATATGGCTTACAGAGGGTTCTGGGGATCTCGTTGCTTCCCAAATTCACTTTGAACCAACTATCCTATTCAGTCCTGTATTCACTCCACTTTTTTTTGCCTTTTTTAACAGGTTTATTTATTTATAATAAACATAATAAATTCTACATGTTAAAGATGTACAGTTTGAAATATTTTGACAGAAACATTGACAAATAACCACAATCAAGATATGCATACATGCATCACCTTACAAAGTTCTTCAGACTCTTTTGCTATGTTGTCTGCCTTTTTCTCCTATCTGCCCCCATCCCAAGGCAAATGATCTGCTTTCTGTCACTATAGAGTATCTTGCATTTTCTAGAGTTTGGTGTAAATAGAATCGTGCATCTTGTGTTCTCTCTGCAGGTTGGTGGATTTGGAATTTTTTGCTCAGATTCAAGTAAGTAGATGGTTATTATCTTATTGTGGCTTTTATCTGAATTTCCCTAATGGCTGCAGATATAAACTATGTGGTTTCTTGTCAGTGCCGTGTCTTCCTGGGTGAAGTGTTTATGCAATTGTCTACGTAATTTTCTACCAATTTTTAAGGTATTGCCAAGTCTTGATTCCCCTGGGGATTCTGAAGTGTAAAGTAAGTGGCTTCTTCATATTCCCCATTTCTGGCTTAATATTTAACTTTCTAAGTTAGTTAGCACTCAACCCACCTGCTTTCCAAAGTAGTATTGCTATTATCTCCTGTCTCACTTCCTGTTCTTGAGAGTTCCTGTCTGGGAATTTTGGTGATCCCTAACTCTCTATATTTGTACCTTTTGAAATTTCATTCCCTGGATTGTGGTCAGGACTAGTTTCTCACCAGTAGAAATATGGTAAACATTATGGAATATCACTCCCCTGATTACCTTATATTCAAAAAGACTGTTTTAAAATCAGGCTGAAGTGAGAGATTGTGCTTGAAAACTTAATGATGTGAATGGCCAAGCTAGGGAAGTCCATATGGTAAGGACTTACAGGGGCTCTAGGGCATGAGACAGAAGTCCACAGTTCTCATTTCCACAACTGAAACCAGAATGAGTTTGAAGTAGATTATTTCCCCATTTGAGGCCCCTGATGAAAACACAGACCAGCCAGCACCTTAAATATAGCCTGTGAAACCCTAAGCAGAAAACCCATCTAAGCAGTGCCTGAACTCTTTACCCATGGCACTGTGAGATGATTAATGTGCATGGTTGTTCGCTGATAAGTTTGTGGCAATTTTTACACAGCAATAGAAAGCTATTACAATAGAAATTGAAGAAAATATTACAATAGAAATCAAAGCAATAGAAAACCATGACAATGTTTTTCCTTTTTTATCCTTTTATTGCTGTTTTAAAAGAATTTTTAGGCACATGTGTATAACCAATGGTTTAGACACACATGGTATGTGATGAAACATTTTTTTTGTTTCAGATTATTCTTATAAAATTTATTAAGTGAGAGACACTTTCCCTCCCATTGATATACTGTTATATGCCAGTACATTTGGGTAATAGCAATGTCTTGATTAATTTAAATATTTGATATTAATTTAAATACTGATTCCCAGTATCATGCAATAACAAGAAACTACAAACAAGTTAGCATTAAATTCTTCTTGTTCTCCAAGTCCCACTTTGGACTTCTATGTGCACTAACACATCTTCTCTTGCTGGTTGAAGTTGTTTAATTTTTCTCATTCTTCTTCCACCCCATGGACACTGAGGAAAACCTCCTGTGCCCAAAGCCACAGGGAAGAGAGGTATTTTATGAGACAAGTTCACCTTCAGGCTCTCTGGAGAATAACTCAAAATAATGAAAGAAGAAAAATCCCAGAAGTCTTTAGAAAAAAAAATCCCCTTGACCCTAAATTCTCACCTGTGTTTTCTGTAGCCTGTACAGATTCTTCTATGTCATTGGCAGTCCCTTGTGACTTGTTCCTTATCCTAAAGTTTCATCTGCAAATTCTTGATTCTGGGATTCCTTTACCTCTTTGGATGACTGTATCAGAGAACCCAACACAAACCCACATTGGCTCTCTTATATATCTCACCATGGCCCATGGGAAATCACACATATCCTTTGCCCTCACACACATTGGGCATACAGACTAGTCCCAACACAAAGTCCTAAACGGGCTCTACCACCAAAGCCATGGCCATAGTTCCATGCAAGAATCTAACCCCTAATCAGGACCCCATACATTCTAATTGTTGTGGTCACATAAAACACTATCTGCGAAGTCCTTTCACTTTATTTAAGGTCAGGGGCCACACATTCCTCCTTCTCTTATTTTAGGGGTAGGTGGAGTGAGAAGGCTCATGTATCAGTTCTCTCCAAGGAAATGTTTCTCATAAAATTTCCTTCGAAGTCTTTTATACCTTCGTGGGATATAGAAACACCTAACTAACTGGTCCTCAGTCGTTTCCTTTAAACTTTGGTATTTCATGTATGCTGCTGCATCTTGGTGCTTGTGAATTTTCTCTATGCCTGTCTACTTAAGTAGACATTCCCCTATGCTATCTTTATTTAATAATGATGAAGGTTTTTCATGTCAAGAGCTAACAGATACTTTCAAACTCTGTAACTCTCAAAACAGTAAGGATGAATCTGAGGGCTTAGTTCTTCTGTGCACTGTGGTCAGGGCTGAAACTCAGGTGAACCCCAAGTGACAGAATTATGTAAGAGAAACACTGCTTCTAGCATCTATTCACCTGTACTCTGTATCTCATCCGAAAGCAGAATTGACCGTACATGTGAATAACTTCCAAAAAGCTCCTACAGTAAAAGAAAATCATGATGTTTGGAGATACCTCCTTGGAAGCGGACAAAGTCTTTCCATCAATTCCCCTCTTACACAGAATTCTAGGAGTGATGAATCATATATTTAACTTCATAAAGGTTTCTTAGAATTGTATATAATTTTCTAGGTTGTCCTGAGGCTATAGAAATGGACGAGGAATCCAAAGTACATTCCCTGTTGCCCTTTCTTAGCTTCACAATCTTTGGTGAGTCAATTTACTTCTGGGTCCCCATTTCCTTATATCTGTACTAGGTCTGGTTGGACACTTCACTTTGCTGGTGGCAGACCACACAATAGTGCATTGTAAAGTGACAACTGCCACATCACCTATCAAATCACATTCTTTTACTTCCTGATAAATGACTACAAAAATATCTGAAATGGAAGTTTTTATTTTATGTCTGATTAACTTTCAACATTAAGAGACTGCACCTAAGAAGCAAAAACAAGCATCAAATTCAACTGGAAAATTTGGAGAAGAAATGCTTTTTCTCTAGAAATTGGCACCAGTGACTTTTTGACAAGAAAGTGAGCATAGTTTATCAATTTATCTAAGGCTACTTCAGGACATTTTCATATTCCAATTCAGATGATTAGAAATACTACATGAATAGTATTACTTTTATGAAAAAGGAAACCATATTTCATAGTCAGGAAGGTATAACTAACACAATTTCCAAAGAAACCTATTTTTCTGCAGCTATGTAGCATTTTTAAAAAATCAAACCACATGAAAATAAATTTTTCCATTTAATTTAAGATAAAGGAGGCAGTGATGAAGCCACTAGTGACCATAATTTCTTCACTGACATTGAACTCCAAATGTCAAGTTGCTCCAACTTTTTTTCCTTGATTTTATGGTTCCTGACCTTCTTCAGTTGATAAGAACTGTGTAAGCATGATGTTGTTGGAGGAATCTCCCTTATGAGAAATTGCATTGTTGCCTGAGGGGGAAAAACAGGATAAAAATTATTGCTACCATGTTGGAATCAAATGTGAGACCAAAATGAAAATAAGCTGGGAATCTCTTAGTTTTAGGAAGATGTTAGGGGAAGATATAGATGTGTTTGTATGAGCATTTCTGACATCACTGAAGCTTGCATTTGTCAAGCATCTCTCATTTCAGAAGTGAAGTATTATCTTTTTCAGATATTGCTGGGAAACAACATAACAGATTGAGATCACAGCATGCCATCACTGGAAGGAACCTTAGCAGTCTCTTAGTTTTTCATTTTATTGATGAGAAACAAATGCATAAAACAGCTTTAATGAACCTCCAGTATATGAATGTAGGACCAATGGGTATCATAGGTGGAGGGGAGAGTCCTGTCTAATCCTCAAAAGGTGTGGTTCCTCCCTCCCCTGGGTCATTTTAACAGTATATGTCCAGCACTTGGACACAATCCCATGGTCCCATTCCTGCTGCTCAGCAGCTGGCACAAATGGGGTGATTTCTCCCATTAGGATACATGTTGATGTTATCTACCCACTTCTCAACCCCATGGCTTGGATGATCAGTACCACAGATATATACATGCATGTGTGCATGTGCCTACACACACACACACACACACACACACACACACATCCTGTGTCTAACTGTGGAAATGGGGATAATTTGTGATGAAACTACTACTTGGTAGTCTCTCTGAGCATCAAATCCCCAATACTGCTGTATCAACACTGAACAGTGTCCATTGGCCTGGACACCACAGCTGGCTGATACTCTCTTACACTTCTCATGTAGATTTTTTAATAGCTGCCATTGAGTTGTCTTTGCATTATGTTTTTATATTCTCTCTTCCCACCTTTTATAATAATTGGTTTTATGGTGATTTACCTTTGTTTTGCACTGAGTAACGTTTTGAGCGTTTGGGTTTGGAAGATATCTCTGAGGAGTTTTGCTGCACAAAAGAAAAACAAATCATTTGAATGTTCATAGTATTCTTTTGGTGATGGGGTCTGCATTTCCTGACTTCTTGGTGGCTTTAACCATCTTTTATTCTGTCAGCATGACTCTTTTCAAGAATTTAGAGTAGTCCCTACCCCTTTCTCTGCTTTAATCTACTTGAAATGCCTAAGAACTTACTTCCAGATGAATTTCACCTTTCTGTATATTTTCACAACTATTATTAACAACAATTATGCAATGGACTTAAGGGAGATAATGTTCTTCTTTTTTCTTCTTCTTCTTTTTTTTTGGCGGGGCGGGTTACACCAGGGTTTGAACTCAGGGCTGCTCTACCACTCAGTTACATCCCCAGTCCTTTTTACTTTTTATTTTGAGACAGGGTCTCACTAAGTTGCTCAGGCTGGCTTTGAACTTGTGATCCTTTTACCTCAGTCTCCTGAGTAGCTGGTATTACAGGCATGCACCACTAAGCCTGTAATATCATCCCTTTTTAAGATCATGCTTATGTTTCTTTGGTTCACACCCTTGTCACTGAAAGAATAACCCATGGAAAAACCAGTACTTCTAGTAAAAATGGCGTCTGTTAGAACTTTGGGTTACTCTTTTACAATTTAACATTTATCTCTCTTTTGAATAATCCCTTAGTCATTGGTGCAGAGATATAGAGTCCAACAATTTTAAAACTTAATTATCAAACTGAAATAAAATATTTAAAAAAGAGAGAGCATGCACTTATTGGAAAAGATAAAGGTGATTAGACATATTTCACTCGATATATCATTCATCTATTCATTAATTTCACTTCTAATATTGAATGTCTCTGTATATTAGGCACTGTTTTTTAAGTACTAGGAATATTGGAAGGAACAATTTCCAATCCCCGCTACAGTCCATGTCATAGGGAAGCTAAACCAAGGTGGGAGAAATAGGTTTTTATTATATGCAGTAGGTAGATCAGTGAGTGTTTCCCAATTTTCACTGAGTTATATGAATGATTACCTCATACTGAGCTCTGAAAATAAATTATAGATAGAAGGAAAAGGCTTGTAATATTCAAAGCAAAACAACTGATTTCCCAGAATTCGAGGCTCATATAATGTTATAACCTTAAAGGAAAATCTTAGGGAGAATTGAATTTAAAACTGCATCTTGCCCCATGTGGAAAGAGTAATTTTAGATTACAATACACTCAGAAACTCTACCAGGTGTAGGAAGAAACATGTCAGACATAAATTTATGTGGATCTAAACTGTTGAACAACAGGATCTGAATCACTGGAACTGAAAGATGGGTCTATAAATTCAGTCTTTGTGGCTAAGTGTCTGTAGAGGCCACCAGAGTGAGCCACTTAGTGCAGAGTTATAGAGAACATGGCTGGGAGAAATGAAGGGCCAAGAAAGGAACTCTGAGCCTCAGCATGAAGAGGCTATTGAAAGAAATTACATTGTGGGTTCACATAGAGTTTTGGTGGCTGGAAGGATGGCCCTTGCTGAGCATTGCTGGCTTCCTCTTCTATTCCCTTCTGTCAAACATCATATTTTCACTGATGTTTCCAAGATCCCTACCTCGTTACCACTTTGCCATCTCTCAGTGAACTCTCAACACCATGATGCCAATCTGTACATGTGGCTCTATCTGCATCCATCTGGTACTTCCTGTATCAAGAGTAGTGGCTAGTCACTCTATCTTTAGTCTGCTACTAAGTCTGTCTTCCCAGGAATCCTCTTGTGTCCCTTAGCCTCACTTTCCCATTTGTATTTAAACTCTGCCTTTACTGGTTCATCCCTCCCAGCATACAGACTTGCTTCCATCCATCCTGGTAATCTTAATGATCCCATCACTCCTGGTCCTGAGTCCACATCTTGTTCCCTTCCTATCTCTCTCTCCCTCCCTTTTAAACTCATAAGTGAGTTTCTTGATAGGACTATCAGTACCCAGTCTTATTTCTTCTTCACCTCGTCATACAAAATCTAGATTTCTGCTTTTCAAACTCCCTCAGAAAATTACAAATACTCATCTTTTCTTCTGCAAAACGAATATTTATTTTAGAATAGATGAGCTATTTAACAGATAACAAAATCTTATTTTATCACCAAGTTGGAAACAAAATTGGGGAAGGGTGTAATTCCAGAAAAAGCAAAGCACTCACTGATTACTCACTCCTACCTTCTGAAAAGGACCTTAGAAACAGGGAGAAACACTGCAGGCATTTTTCTTTTACTTTGTTTTATTTAATTTTCTCTCTCTCTCTCTCTCTCTCATTTCCAAATGAGAAAAAAAAAAATCTGACTTCCTGCTTTGCTTGGTGGGGAGTGTCCTGATTCATTTATTCGGTAAAGGCCTCTCTTTCCATAACTTCCTTTTTTTCTTTAAAGTAAATAATGACATTAGTTTCACATTTTCTGCTTCAAAGGACTTTTCATTCTTTAAGACATAAAATCAAAATCGCAGAATGTTAGAACTTCATTAAGTAACTAAGCCAACACTTAATTTTTACAGCTGAGAAAACTGAAGCTCAAAAGGACTAAGGAAGTTTCCCAAGGTCACACAGTCAATTGGATTCGGAGTCAGAAACATAGGGCAGGTCTGCCTGCCCATGGGCCACTCCTCCCTAATTCACAGCAGAGGTTTCCAGTGGGAGATGCAGACCAAGGAAGATTTCTTAATGCCAAATGATTTCCTCACTAATTTTTATTTCAAAAGGATATACCGTCACTGGCAAAAATCTCTGAACACCCACATTTGGACACAGTTAAGTCAGTTGATTTTTTATCAAACACAGATATCTCTGCTTCAGAACCCTCTCTGAAAAGCCCTTTGTCTCTTGCTGAAAGAAAAAAGTCTAAATCAACATTGAAAATAGAAAATAGGCATGCAAGTACTTTTGTTTCAAACTATACTATCGTCATATGGACTGCACTTTTGTGGCAAAGAATGAAGCAGAAATCCTCCAGTTTCATATAAACCTATCACATGGCAGACTTAAGAGCTAAAATTGCAAGGGACTAAAATGAACAATATTGCTCAAAGGTACTCACAAACACCCACAGACCTCACACTTCAACATCCTTGTTGGTTCCCATGCCTTTACATTAATTAGTTCAATCGCTTCCTCCCTCAGTAGCTCTTTTAAGAGTATCAACCCTGTGCCAGGCACCCTTAGAAACACCAGGATATTACAGTGGTGACAAAACCTCCAAGGAGTTCATATAGAACTGGACTGCTGCAAAATTCCACAAAGACAAAAATGCAAAACTGCAACTCCGGGCATTGGAGCAGTAGATAATTACCTTTAGTGTCTGCATCCAAGAGCTTAGTGGGGACAAGTTGTGGCATAGAAGTTGTCGCAGCTATAAGGGCAAAAAGAAATAGAGAAGAGAAACACATATATATGTATATATAAAATATGTGTGTGTGTGTGTATATATATACACACACACACACACATATATATAATATATACATATATACTAACATACAAACATACTAAGAAAAAAACTGCAGATTGAAATTATTATTCCTAAGTATTATTTCCTACAGGCACTTAACAGACCACAGGCATGACCATCTAGTAAAAAGATTATTTTCTTAGCCTCTTTACTAATAAGTAAAACTAGCATTAAACAAGGAACAACACTTCCAAGGCCACAATAACTCAGATTCTAGTCATCAGTAATTGGCAATAATTGCTAAATTGAAGTTTATCTGTAAAGTGAAGGGTTTTCCTAACCATGAGAATGGTACAAACAAGGCAATTATTAGTACAATTAAAACAGCAGATTGTTTCTTTGTAAGTAGAGGTTTGTGATGTGCAACAATTATGCTAATTGTAAAGTATTCCTATCTTATTAAAACAGTATCTATACATCAATAAGCTTCACCTCCGTCTTCATCTCTCTCAACAGAATTGCTCAATGCTTGGGGAAAATAATAAGTTTCATTAATTTTTTTCTATTATCTTTCACTTAAACTGGTGGTCCTTCCTTAGGAATTTTATCTAATGTGGAAAACTATTTTAACATTTACTATGCAAAGCTCTAAAAACACAGCAAGTAGATATAATTTTAGCATATTTTAAATGAATGAACAATGAAAGGGGCAAAAGGGAAATTACTCCATAGTAGAGGAATTTTGCTCTTGAATCATTGTTAAACCATAATTTAAGTTAGAAAAATCAAAGGTAAAAAAGAATTTCTCTCTCTTCTGGTAGTGTCCACATTACATGTTGTGGTTAATTCTATACAACTTTGTCAACACTGACCATTTAATTTCTGTCTTCTAGCTGAACCTCATTTTGTAAAATTATAGAATTTTATTACAAAAGTACCTGTTGCCTAACCTCCTACTATATGAATAAAAACCTCAGAACTGAAGCGGGGGGGTGGGGCATCAGAGAGTGAGGGGGTAGGGGGATGGGCATAGAGAGGCCTGTGTTAGGGATGAAGAGAGAAATGAATATGCACATACCTTACTATCCAACAGTATTCCAAAACAGAAGATGAAAAAACCCTTTAACAAAAAAAAGGAGAAAATCACACATTACATTTTTTTTCTTTTTCAGAACAAGAAAGCACATGTATGTAACCCAGTTCTGTTTTATCACCCAACACTGAATTTGTTTTCTTGTCTATCTCCTTACTAGACTGCAGGCTCCTTGAGGGCAGGAACACTGTGTGACCTTCTCAGTGCCTGGCACAACACAAAGAACTCAAGGACTTTTTCATGAGTGTGTAAATAAGTAAATGATTGAGTGAATGAAGTTCTAAGTGCCTTTGGAGCTTCGTTCTCCTCTACTGTGCCATCCCAAGCCTAAAGCAAATCACTTCCATTGGCTTCTGTATCTCAGTCTTTATTTAGATCTGCCATTTAATAACATTTACTATGCATTTATGACAGCAGCTGGCACTGAGGTCCAACCCAAGGGACAAGCAGAGGAAGTTGACTTCTATCAGCAACCTTTCTTTCAAGCACAGCTCTTAGAAAATCTTGGCAAGGGCTTTCTTCAACCTTGAAATCCTTCTCCAAGTCAGAGAATCTTCCATTAATGTTTGTTCAAACAGAATACAGACATGTGCTTGCCCTGACAGGAACACCTATGCTTGTCATCACTGGATGCACGTTCCTTATGACTGCCATCTATACCACCACCTGTAGAATCTATGTTGAATAGCAGGGAAACAGCTGCTTTTAGGAGACACATGTTGAACATTTACTAATTTCCATGCACTATGCCAAATGCTGAATTATCTCATCAAATCCCCACATTTACTCTTTGATGTAAGTATTGTTATTAGGTCCCTTTAACAGATGAGGGAATTGAGAGACGGAGAGATCAAATAAGACCACATAATTGACTTCCAACAAATTATTTGAGTTGAGGCATACTTAACTCCAGAGCTCAAACATTTAACCACCACTTCCCATTCATTGTCCCAGGTAACCTGAAAATACCTGCATTAAACCAGGATTGAAAGCTTTCTTCCATGTATATTAATAACTAAGGATTATTTTATCCATCTACTCTGAGCACTCTTTGACTATGAAATGTAAAACTCATTCTTTGTGGCAGAATCAGCAAACTTTTATCTGTAAAGACCAGGTAGTATTTGGGCTTTGCCAGCCACATTATCTCTATTGCAACTTTTCTGCTATTGTAGGGAAAGCAGCCATAGATCAAGGCAAATGAACTGGCATGGTTGTGTTCCAATAAAACTTTATTTACAAAAAGCAGGCTGCTGGTGTTCAGTTGCTGGCCCTGCTTATTTGCTTTCTAGGGACTTCCTTTGCACCATTCAGAGTCAACAAGTACTTTTTATTTATTTCTCTGTCTCTGTGTTTTTTCAGAGATCTGCCCAAGAGAAAGAGGACTGAGGTAACAGTAAAAGGATTAACATTAGTTATGGGAACTCCAACAGATTAAAAGCTCTATGGTAGATTACTGTATAAGTCTGGATATTCTGGATATTCTGCTTCAGTATGACCTTAATTTTGGAGGAAAATAGATCTTTTTAAAAAAATTATAGTTTCCATATAGCTTTCATTACAATCTTACTAGAGAATTGTTTTGTTAACCTGAGTTATCTATACTTATTCCAGTTATGTAAGAATGTAATAGATTATTATTTGGGGGGGGGGTCTCACCTGGAATGCATTCAGTAATGCAAAAAGAACATGCCAAGCTGGATTCTGGCCATCCACCATTGTTCCTATACCGAAGCCCCAGGTGAGCCCCAGCAAAGGGGTCAAGATGAGTAGGCTCTTCCCCATGCGGATGAAAGTGGCCTTGTCATCCTGATTCAGTCTTTCTCCAATAGCTGGCCTCCAGAGCTTTGAGAGAACTAACAGCACCACAACCAAATTCATAGCCACAATAGTCAATGCAGGGACAACAAAAGCCAAGAGAGGTTTGCTCTCATCAGACCAATTAAGCCAGCACACATCTTTACTTTTGTAGTTATTGCTAGGTTGTGTGACTGCAAGGGTGATGACTGATATAATGAGAGGGCACCCATAGCCCACACAGAACCCAATAGCCATCATCAAAGTCATGGACATGTGATGGAACACAAGGATGATTCGATAAGCCAGCAGGAGGCCAAGCAGGAGCATCCAGAAGAACAAAGAGAGGTAGAAAAAATGTGTAAAGAACACTGCAGCTGTGCAGACTCTAGAAGGGTTTATGGTGGTGTCCACAGTGGCCGCAACAATAAACCAAACATCTGCAATCAAGAGGGACAGGGCTATGTTCACCATGCAAATATGACGTGTGCGTGAAGTTTGGCTCTTCTTGATCTGCTTCCAAAACAGAGCCTCAATGATCAGGCATAAGGTGAGACTTCCCATGGAGATACCCAGTCCCACATAGGTGATCCAATTCACAGCAGGGACAATCGCAGAGGGGACAAAGCGTGACATCAGCATGGAGAAGGAGGTCAGGTGAGTACATTGACACGTCACCATATCTAGACTTTCATTTACTAGGTGGCAGCCTCCACTGTCCCATCGCAAATGACTGAAATCCCAAAACACACAATGAGGCTTTCTCAGATTTGACTCTATCTTAGAGAATATCAGGGAAATTTCACTTATGGAATAGTTTGGGATAACTGTGGATATTACAGGCCCATTGACCTGAACATTTTCATTTTGGGTAATGGGCAGAATGTTTCCAAAGGTCAATGAAGCCATGTTGATGATACTTTCTGGAAGGGGCTTCTGGAATTGGCCAGGTCCAATTAACACATAGCCTCTGATAGGAATGGAGGTATTTTTTTGGAACATTTCAATCTGATAGTTATAACCCTGTTCATACTGACTTTCGGTCACTGGAATCCCTTTCCAGTTAATGAAATCTCTAGAAAAACTCAGAGGCAGAGCAGTTGAAGGTACCAGAATGCTGATGTTTTCCAATGTCCTCAGTAGCTGTGAGCTGACATCCTTTTCTTCTTGCAATAAAATTGTCCAATTAGTTATTGATGATGAATTAAGAATATGATCAGTTATATTGATGACATTCTGAAACACAAGGATGAAAGTTAGTGTTTTCAGTAAAAAAGATGAGAGGTCTATGAGTGGATAGTTATTTGTGTTCAGTTTAGGGAAAATGCTTGGAAAATTGACTCAGTTGAGGAGCACATTGAAGCTCATCAATTAAATTCAGCTCTGCTACTCTGCACAGCAGAGACTTTGGGGAAAGAAACTTGGTTCCAGGGTGACCACCCCAAGGCATTCAGAAACACACTGGGCTGAATATACATCCTTTAGTGCCCAAAGGTGCATTCCCATTCTCCTGAGTAATAACGTGGAGACATTATTTTGACAAATTTCCATATTATGATGTTTGTTTTGCTAACATCAGAAGTTTAAAATCCATATCATGGGTGGCCAAGATTTAATTCATGTTTTTTGTTTGTTTACTATACAAGATATAAAATACAAATCCTTACAAACTAGACTCAAGCATCAAATCGGTGTTGAATTGCTGTGGGTTTTTAGGGCCACTCTGAGTTTGAGAGATTCCTTTTCCAAGCAACTCCTTAAACATTGCTATTTCCTCCCACAGGACCTCTTTCTGGCTTTGGACTCTGATTCTCCGGCATTTTGCTGTGGGTGTCTACCAGGTTTTACCCTATCTAGCCCTCTGTGTCTTCTGGCCCAGAGCCTAGTGAGCTTATTCTACTGCCCCCAGGATCCTCTGCTTTCTCTTGCTCTGTTTGTGTGCTGTTTTCACTCTTCATTTTATATTTATCCTTTTTGTTTCATATTATTTCAGCTGATCTCTTATGAATAAAATGCAAAAAACAAACCTGAGCATCTTTCCTTTATGACTTTAACTTATTCAAAATATGTTAAAGTTGACATAATTTTTAAAAATTAAAAAATTGACATAATTTTCATCATACATAGTCAAGTATAATTGTTACATAAATTACATAATCTGATTTTGTAAAATGTTACAGACCTTAAAATATAAAATGCAAATATTTGAAATGTTTGGAAGGACACTTATTGAGCAAATATTTATTGAGCACTGCTGTGCACCACTTGTTATTCTTCCAGGCACTGGGGTGATAATTGGAATATAAGCAGCAGCTGCTAGTCTAAGATGATGAGATTACAGATCATTTAATTTTCTTTTTGCTTATTTGCATTTCTTATAGTGATCATATACCATCTGTGTGATCTTAAATTAATTTTTAAATATCTAAAGGAAACCATGAATTCCCACGTTGAGTAAAGGAGTTCTTATAATGTACACAGCTAAAGTCAGAGCTTATGGCCACAGGAAAGAATGATTATAAGCTACTAACATGTATCAAAATGCTGGAGCCCAAGTCATATAATAATTCTCTAAGCCAGGTGCTGCCCATGCCCCGTGCTTAGGTGTAACTCCCTTTTACTTTGAACTCACACTATTGATCTCATGAGTTCCTGTATCCTATGGAGAAAGAACAAAGTTACATGAGGACTGTTATATGGCTCTTCTGTCTTTCCCCCATTACTTAGAACTTTGTCATTTCTCCTACAAGATGCAGCATTTAAAGAAAGCCCTGCAAACACAGGAAAACCATACCTCCAACGTCAAATTAGACACCTTGAAATTCTTTGCCATTGACAGGAATGAAATATTTCCCAGAATTGACACCACAGAAGCCAGATTTCCAGCTGTAGTTGATGGATTTTGCTGAATGATGACAGAAAGATTTTGCACCAGAGATGACATGTCCATCTCTGTAGCGCTGTTTGCAATCAGGCTGAAATTCTAAAAATAAAAATGGTTACGTTCTAGAAAACAGAAATGTTTGGGTTTCATCAAATTTCAACCCAATATCTTGGCAACCTAGTACTAACATTTGTATGGGTTGTGTATACTAAAATAAGTATACAGCAGTCATTTAAAAAAATGACTGTTATTCAGGGTTCTGTCTACTACAGACACTGCCAAATGTTCTACCAGGGATTCACTGTTTGAATCCCTTAAACATCCTTGAGGGAGGTACCATTATTGTTGTCATTTTATAGCTAAGAAGACTGAAAATTGAAATATTTATTAAAATTGCAGGTATTTTTATGGAGTTGGGGAAGAAAATGCTAAGTGAAATTAGATAGTCCCCAAAAGACAAATGGCGAATGTTTTCTCTGATATAGGAGGCTGATTCACAGTGAGGTAGGGAAGGGGAGCATGGGAGGAGTAGACGACCTCTAGGTATGGCAGAGGGGTGGGAGGGGAAGGGAGGGGACGTGGGGTTAGTCAGTATGGTGGAATGTGATGATCATTATTATCCAAAGTACATGTATGAAGACACGAATTGGTGTGAACATACTTTATATACAGAGATGAAAAACTGTGCTCTATATGGGTAATAAGAATTGTAATGCATTTTGCTGTCATGTACTTAAAAATAAAATCAATTTTAAAAAAAAAATAAATAAATTTCCACAACTAAAATAAATAAATAAATAAATTTTATCAGATAAGAAAAGCATCTTTATATAAATCATTATTCTAATTATACAGAAACTGTTGCTCAGTGATATTTGATGATCTTCCAAAAACTACTCAGCAAGAAAGTGGTATGTAAGGTCTAATAGTACTAATGCTAGGCTATATCCCCACTGGATGGGAAGATGGAGGGACAATGTGGAAGTTACTAGACTTTTGCCAACCCTGACTTTGCTCTTGAATTTGGAGTTTTATTCCTTCTTTCACGCTCCTATCTGCTTCTGCTGTGCTGGGTTAATGTGGAAGGCAGCAAGGGAGGGGTGCTACCTTCCCATCAACACATGTCACCCCACGATCCTAGACCCCACCTCTTCTCCTTGTTCTTTTTAGCTCAGAGTGCTGTTATCTGCCCAGGGCACCTGGAATGTACCTTCCTTACGTTCTGGGGTGAACTAGTTCTAAATATTGCCCGTGTTCAAAAAATAAGGCCAAAGGAGAGATCCTAGAGGTTACCTTCTCTAACTTCTCTTTACAGATAAAGAAATTGAGTACATAAAAGGAGAAATGACTATTCCTCAACATTTTGATGAATACTCTTCTGGGGTTCTCTACTGCAATAGCCAGGTCTGTGGCCAGGATATACATACTACTCAATGTAGAGACCTACTAGCAGAATGGTGTTTGTGAACTGATCTTGAGGTTATTCTTTTCTGTGATTTAAGTTCTGCTATTTCCTGACTATTCACTTTCTTCATTCTATTTACTGTGTCTTGGTATTTAAAACTTTCTAAGAGAGCATGAGAAGAGATCAAATATTGGATTGGGAATCAAGTAACTATTTGTAGATCAATGCTATTGCTTCTAGAGAGACCATTGGCTCCTTGGTCTTTTGTTTCCTAACCTGAAGAAGGAGGTTGTAAATCCAATGACCCTAAGGTCCATTGCAGATTTGTCGTTCTATGTGGCTCAGCTCTGCCTGACCCACTCCCTGCCCCAATGACTGATATGTGTACATCCTCACTTGTATTAAACCTATTGCCCTCTGACTCACACTTCTACTTTAATCTTCAATTCCTAGACCGCTGAACTTCTAAAGCCAGCTCAGTTGCTGTTCTACCATTTACTATAGACTTTAGCACTGATTTCCTCCTTTGCAGCACCCTGTCAGACAAAACCATCAATTCTGATCGTGTTAAACTCCTAGACACATTGGACACTTAGTAAATATTTGTTGAATAAATATTATTGAAATAAAGTGGCATGACTGACCTTTTCTGACTTTTCAGCTGTCAGCTAGACTCTGCCATTCATGCCCACACTCCCTGGGTTTGCCACAGTCTGATGTCAGCCTCACCTTCTGCACAGTGGCCAATGATACAACTTGATATATTTTGCCCTCTCCCTAGCTGTGCTTACTGGGAGATGCTTACTGTGAAACTCAAACCCCAGGCCAAGTCCACAAAAGGAAAAAACTTCACCTTCTGCAGTTCTTCCAGCTGAGAGAGCACACAGGACTCCCTGACGACCTGCCATCCAGAGGGCTGGCACTTGGCTGTGACATTTCCAGTGTAGCCGCTGCTACAGGGCAGGGTATATTCATCATTCTTAGACCCAAATCCAAAGAAAATGCTGTTACACTGGACTGGAAAACAGGAGAAACAGGAAAAATGATACCAGAATATCCAGCACTCTGTGTGACCCATGTAGTAGTGTTTAAAGACTTTAGAAGTCATATGTTCATATATAAAACCCAGGCAAAATTCAGAAGGAGGAAGTGTGACTCTGATATCTAGCCTCTTTCCTTTTAGCACCTGTACTCCTTCCTGATGCCTCCACCTTGAGGCTGGCTCTTTCTTCTATGTGTCAGATTTTTGCCTTTTGATGAGCTACCAACTAGGAAGTATTAGGTGAAAATAAGGGAAGATGTGATCAACCCTAGGAAATGTTTTCTTTCTTTAAGAAAATACCAGAAAGTCAGAAAATCTTCAAGGCATTATGGCTCAAAGTAGTAATTATGTGGTCAAAAGGTGATATCTTCTATACCCCTTTAACAGCATTTCACATTGCAATCAATCTTTATTTAACTTTTCTCTTTTAATTTTTTTTATTGGTTCTTTTTAGATACACATGACAGTAGAGTGCATTTTGACATATTATACATACACAGAGTATAACTTATTCTAATTAGGATCCCATGCAACTGGCTCTTAATAATATATTCTTATTATGACTGAAACTGGGAAATGGAAATATCATATGCAAAAGCTATAGGGCTGGGGGTTTTGTTTGTTTTCCTTATTGCTATGTCCTAAGTGCCTAGACACTTAGTAAATATTTGTCAAATAAATGTTATTGAAAGACAATGGCAAAAATCTTGGCAAGAGAGGTCTAGGGTTGAATATAAAGAAGTAAAAGAAATACATATTATTTTTAACTACAGGCCTCTTACTCTGAATAGAATACCAGACCTTATTCTGTTCCCCATCTCAACTTCCATGACATCAATCAATGTTTTTAAATCCCACATATGAATGAGATGATGCAGTATTTGTCTTTTATCTTTCTCTGCCTGGCTTATTGCACTTAACATATGCCCTGCAGGTTCATCCCACAATAGGGTTTCATCCCTTTCCATGGTTGAATCATATTGTATATTTCAAAATAGCTGGAAGAAAGCATTGTGAGAGTTCTCATTGCAAAAAATAAATAAATAAATATTTAAATGAGGGATATTCTAATTACCCTGATTTGATCATAACACAATATAGGCAAGTGTACCCCATAAACATGTATGATTATCATGTGCCAACCCAAATAAAAATTTTAAAAAGAAGCAAAAGGAAAAGAAAACTATTTCAAGAAAAAGTGGTGTGTGTGCATGTGTCTGTTTTCGTTAAAGACAAGGATGTATGCATTCTTTTCTTGGGTCCTCACACTGTGATTTAGAAATTGTGTCAGCCCCAGGGCTCTTTCAACATGTACCAGTAAACCATTTCTGAGTAATTTCCATCACAGCTTGCCCTGAAATCAGTTGTCCATGATGTTTATACCAGGAGTTGGAGATCGGATCAGCGATGAGTAAGGATTTAAAATAGTCAGCTAAAGTTGAGTTTTACCGAGATGAGGGAAACAGCTGCCTGTTTCCACTGAAAGTCTGTTTTAGAACAATTCCCTCTTGAAAAAAAAATTCCAATCTACTTCCTGAAGATACAAATGCACTAATTAAAGGAGTCCCTTAATCAAAACAAAAAATGGGAATCCAGTATCACCTTTTCCAAACACCATGAAGGATCCGTCTTCCAACAGAAACAGCTGGCCCAGGCTGGCCTCCGCCTTCGCAGCCACCTGTTCCACAGCTGACAGCAGCTCAGAGGAGCTGCTTGAGCCAATCACTTCATACCCAACAATAATGCTTCCCTCTCTGCAATGATGGCAGGAAAGAAAAATGAGATGCACTATTCATTCCTTCAAGCAGGGCCTAATCTGTGTGTACGTGGCATAGGGTTCCAGAGGCATAAACCAGACAGACTTGGTGTGCACCTTCAAGTACAAAAGGAGGGTAAATGAGAAATGAAACAAGACACACACATGCACATGCACATGCACACACGTGTACCCTTATGTATATTTCCAAATTTTATTCAGTATTATGAGAGACAGGCACAGTGACCAGAACAATAGATGGAGATGAGACCCCACATTAAACAAAGCTAATCAGCGAGGCTTCTCTGTGTGAAGGAGTGCTCAAGCCCAAAGGAAGAGAAGAAAAGGTCCAGTGACAAAAAGAATATTGGATAGTATGCCAGCAGATGTAAAGATCTGGGGCAGGGAAACAAATTTGACAAAGACTGGCCTGAATAAAATTCAATGAGTAAAAAAGAAAGACATAGAAGGTAATATTGGAGAAATCACCATGATCCAGATCACCAAGGGCCTTAGAGTTTGAATTTGATTCTTTATCTTAAAAGTTTTAGAATTCATTAAAAGGCAACAGTATGATTGTATTTATTTTTTAAGATCATCACTTTGGCTGCTATGTAGGAAATAAACTCAAAGGAGGCAAGTAAGGAAGGAGGTAGTGAACTTGAACTTGTGGGGTAGTACTGGAGAAAAGAGTCAGATTCAGGTTAGACTGGAAGACAGCATAGAACTTGCCAGTGAAGCAGATTTGAGAGAAAGAAACCAGTCAAGAATAATTTCAATGAATGAAGAACCACTTTAATATAGTTATATAATGGAATAGTACTGGGCAATAAAAGGGAAGGCACCACAAATAGTCAGAAAATAAGGATGAATCTCAAACATTTTGCGAGTGAAAGAAGCCAGATATACAAAAATCCACAGGTGGGGTGATGATTGTAGAGGAGGCAAAACTAACCTAGAAGAAATCAGACCAGTGGTAGAGAGTGTGGGAGGTAGGGGTGGAAATTGACTAGAAAGGAACATGAGGGAACTTTCTAGTTGATAGAAATACTCTGTCTTCATAGGAAGGGCTTATACAAATATCTGTCAAAGATGATTGAAGTGTACTTAAGATTTAAACACACTGCTGTATGCAAATCATATCTCAAAAGAAAATCAAAACAAAAGATGGCTCCAAGGTGTAAGTTTGTGCAGCTGGAAGGACAGCATTATTGTATCTGAGATGTGGAAGATGGTGAGGTGGGCTGTGGCCAGGAGCAGGACAGTTGTGGGGGCGCCTAGTGCAGGTGTGTTGTGTTTGACATGCCCACTGGAAAACCAAGAGGAGATGTCAAGTTGGCAGCTGGATATTTGAAAATGGACTTTAGGGTGGGGACCAAGCTCAAGTAGCAAAGAAACTACCAGCATATAGATGTGTTTTAAGGTATCAAATATAAATCAGCTCACATGTGTTAATCAGGTGACCCTGCAATTAGGGTTCACTGTGTTACCCACATTTTAAAGATAAATGAGGCCCAAAGAGAAGATGGGCCAGGTAATCATTATTTATTAATTAATAGGTTAAAAATCGTGATGCTCCAAAGCTCAAATTCTTAATTACTAGGTCAAACTTCTGCTCGCTTCACAATAAACACAAATGTCCTTTTGTGTAGCAGTGGTCACAGTGCCTTTGCATTTTACCACCCTTCTATGTTACTTACGAAGCATTTTCCTGCCTATGATTTCATTTGATTTAATGAACTAAAACAGGTTTCATGGTACTAACTGTCCTGTTTGACAGATAAGTAAGTGAGAGAGTGAGAGATAAGTGAGAGAGTGAGAGAAAGATTGATTTTTAAATCATGTACATTAAGAGTCAATCCTAATATTTATAAGCTTATGCCTCCTTTGACTGTGATTGTGTCTACAAATTACTGGGGACAGTTTATAAGACACACATGATGAAATGTAAATTAGAAATGTAGGTAGAAAATCAGGACCAAGATGGGGAAAAACTATAATATAGAATACAAAACTCATTGTGATTGAGTTTCAATTTTGGCTATAAGTTGGATAACAGGAAAGTCAAAAGGAAAATATGATCAATGATACAGACTCAACATTTGAAAAAAGAAAGGAGTGTTTTTCCTGGTACTAAATTTAAAGGAAATTATTTACATGAGACACAGGATGACTTAAAGGGGAATGCCCGAGATAATAAATTTATAGCAAATGCTGTTGAAAATTCCCAATGGTTTTTTAAAAAAGTTAATTGTTAAAAAAAATTAATAATGAGTCAAGTTCTCTGACCTCTAAGCTATTTCCTCTATTAAGCACACTATTAATAGTTGGCAATCAATGTACACATGGTTAACTAAGCAAATAACTTTTGGAGTTAAAGCATAAACAAAAGGATAATTTACTAAATATCTTTTTATTTGCTATAGACAATGACTACTGGATTCTGAATTGTGATATATTGTGACATCTACACAAAAAGATAATATTTCACCCAAGTCCCCCCACCCGTCCCCGCCCCGTGGCTCTGAATCATACAGCATCATGTCCCTTGTGGCTGTGGGAGGAAAAAATCCATCCCTCTACAACCCTCACCCCTCCTCCCCACCCTCGCCCCTTCCTGGACATGCATGCTCCTGTTTCCTTCCAAGGTGTGTTTTCATAGCTCTACTCCTGAACCACAGTTTTGAAAATGTTCTTCAATGTTGAAGTTTCTAAATTCACTTAAAGGAGAATCTAGACTTTCCTCTTCAGAACTTTGAAAGCATCAGAGTAAGAACCCTAGTAGGAAGACTAGCTCTGCCCTGTTTTCTATCAAGGTCACCTGGGAATAGCACATGTCATTCAGCAGGACTGGTACACAGCTCTGGAGATGCCCTTCTAAGGACATTGTGCTACTTACCGAAATTGGGTAACCTCCACTGACTCAAAACCTTGAATTTCTTTGTATACTTCTGTAAGCTTAGAAAGAAAACAAAAGGCAATGTGTTAATCTTTGTCCTTGCACTTCAGAAAGACATTTGAACAAAAATGGCTGCAGAAGATAAGTAAATAAAAAATAGCAAATAAGCAAAGGAAAGAGGTACTGTGGGAAATGGTTGTAGGTCATAACAAATACAGTTAAAATCACAGTTGGGAATATACACATACATACACACACATGCAGACATAGAAACTTGTAAAATTTATTTTCGAGATCACTACTAAAGAGTGAATAACCAACTGCTTAGAATAGTGTATGGATTTGGTACCAAATAAATTTACCCCAAATCTATTTTATCCATATCAAAATCAAGCCATTTAATTTTCATAGGTCTTTAAACTGAATCCATTTGTTCATGTCTTCATGAACCACACCTGGGCCACAGTCTCAGGCAGAGGGGCAACGATGGATCTGGTTTTCATGTGACTTCATTATGAAGCCCAGAGTTTTGCTCGGTAACTCGCTTTGGCCCCCAACAAGAGAGCCTTTTTTTATGGAAGAATCCACAATGCTGACAATTGAACTTAGGTTGTAAAAATTTTCTTTTGACACATGAAAATCAGAAAATTACCAAGAATCCTTAGTGTAAATGTTCAAGTAAGTGAGCAAAACTGAACACATGAGCAAGTCAACTGACAAACTATCCTAGGGGAAAAAAAATGATCAAGGAATGCCAACTGTGAGCGCAGCAAATATTTTCTCTGTAATAACTCAGTGAAATCTTTTTAAAAATGTATTTAAATATATATGCTGTATTGAAAATATCTGAGTTAGCATTTAGTGAACAATTCGTATGCAATAAGTAAAATGTGCTTACTTTATCTTTAATGGCAGTTGTATAATTGGAGTATTTAGCAGAAGATGAATTTAAAAGGTCTTTTGTAAATTTTTCATTAATTTGGAAAGTGCCCCAAATCTCTATGAGAAATAGAAAGAAATTTTTAGATAATGAGTTTCTAACTTGATTTTATTAGCCGCATAAAATTATAAAAGTGTAACTCAAGAAAACATCTTATCACCAGTGGTATTTCAATTATTTTATGATAAATATTCACTAAATAATAGAAAACATATAAAACCAGAGTTTTCAAACTGTGTATTTTCAACAGTAATGGGAAACTGCTGGTCATCAAGACAACCTTCGAAGTAGATAAATGTATGACCATTCACAGGTGGATAGAAAAGATAGTCACTGAATTCTGAAATAAACAAATCCTCATCTAGGCATTGAGCTTAAGCATTGCCCCATCAAAACGTTTTTAAAGCACTTCTGGCTAACCCTGACACACTCCTTGCTTACTTGCCCATTGTTAGTATTCCTTTGCACTGGGACAGCTCTCTGAATACACAAATCCTGTTTTTCCTTCAACTGGGACCTAGTCCAATGTCAGCTCTTCTGCAAACCCTTTCCTAGGCCCCAGATGTGATGTCTTTTCTACCTGTGAATTCCTACAGAATTTTTTTCCATACCTCCCTTACAGCCTCTTGTACCAAAATATCTACATATGTGTCTCATCTATACACATCCCCAAAATACTATGGGAAGACCCTTATGAATGTAATACCCTTTCGATCCATCTTTGTATTTCTTGAAGATGGACCAGATATGGACCATCTTAGAAAAGGTAGGCTTCTATCTATATTCACTGAAGAAATTATATCATTTCCTTTCTTGTATCATCGCCTGGCCTCCCCAAATAGCCTGATAATTCATAAATAGCAAAAAACAACAACAACAACAAAAAAAAAAAAAAAACACTTGTGTGTCCTCTAGAACTGGACATAAAGATGGCAGTTAATACATGCACATTGTTATAACTTAACTTGGTCATGGGAAGGAAAACCATGGATGCCCAGTTACTTCAGACTCCTCTCTCAGTCTTTCCTGAGCTCAACTAGAATCCAGAGCTTCAAGATGACCAGAGTAGTCTTTGGGGAAGCTTCTTAAATTTCTTTAAGCACTGGAGTCCATATCATTTGGTTCATCTCAACATTCATTGAAAATCATCCTAAAGCAACAATTTTCCAGAGCTAAATTTTTAACATCTGCCTGCTTGCCTTTCCTTCTTCTTTTAATGCACTCAGCACACATATTTGTTGGCAACTCAGAGTTCTTTCAACATAATCATTATGCATGTGTTCTTCCCTGCATTCACATCACTAGAACTGATGTTGGCAAAGGAGTGAAAAGAAAGTAGGAAGAAAAATGTTGGTGACTCAAACAGTTGCCTACTTGGAATTTTAGGGGCTCTCTTTAAATCTTAATAGAATCATACAGTTGCAGAGCTGAGCTAGATGTACCTAGATGTTGAAATGACACCCAAATGTCAACTTGCATTTCTGTATCTCCTGCACTTATGGAGCTCTGACTGGCTGTAGACAAGGATAAAAAGCACACGGCCATCATCTTCCAATCTCCCTCTAAGTAGTAACTTTCCTCAGTGAGGTGAAGGGCCAGAGTACCTTCCCTTTAATTGGGTGATGCCCAGAAGTTCAATGAACTCCAATGTGCTTACTTGCTCTCTCACAGAAATTGATGCTCTGGCTGAGGTTGCTGAAGTGACATTCACAGCTTGGGAGAGATCCAGTTGTGTGAAGATAGCAGTGCTGGGGATCGAGGCATGAGGGAGGAAACCAGGTGTGGCTGTCTTCGCAGGCACACTGTAGGATCCCATTCAGGCTGCTACAGTCTGCACAAAAAACAGAACTTGGTCTCACAAAGCCTCATCTATAAGCTGACTACTGCCAAGTTCTGATCCTTGACACTGACTTGGAATCTGAAGCAAGTATATCTCACCAAGAGCTAGAAAGACAAAATCAAGATGGTGATATGTTTAAGTTAAGGAAATGTCCACCTCAGTAGAGTCCAAGGTTAGTAGTGGAAACCTACCAAACATAAAACTAGCATGGCTGGTCTTAGCATCCAAAAGAAGGATGTATGCCCCATAAATATCCATTGCAATGGAAGAAAGAAGCAGAAGAGTATATTTGTAACATGGGAGATATTTGAAAGATTCTAAAGGGCACTTGACCACTCTCTAATTGGAGTTCCCCTTCTTCCACAAGCTACCACTCCAAGGTGCCCTAAAAGTAGGATGACAAAAGTAGAAACTATTTGGGGGGAGCCATGATGAAAAGTTCCATTAGCCAATCCTGTATGTTCATACTTTTGTATTGGACCAAAATCATTATTTTTAATAGGCTAACAAAGGGACAGGGACAAAGTCACCAGCTACTTTTGTGAAAACATGCACAGTGGCATGCAATGAATGGTTCACTGGAGATATTCAGTGAGTGGTTCTTAAACTTTATCAAGCACAAAAAAATTCCCCTGGAGGGTCTCACTCCAGAGTTTCTGGTTCAGTACAACCGAAATGGAGTCAAGAATTTAATTTCTATTAAGTTTCCTGATGGTGATGCTGATGTTGCTCCTGCTTGTCTGAGCACCACACTTTGGGAATCACTGCTCTAGACAAGCCATTCAATTTCTCTGAACCCCACTTTTGTGATTATTAGTGCTGTTTGCCAAATTTCTCGCTATCTTCTATGCACAGGGAAGGATTTCACATCTTGGCCTGAGATTGGGTGAAGCTATAGAACCAGTTCTGGTCAATATATTGGGAACAAAATTAGTATATGTCACTTCTAAGTCAAAGATTTCCTATGTGAGACTTTCTAGTATTCCATTTTTTTTTTTTTTTTTTTTGTCTCAGAATGAATATATTTGCCATTAAGGCCTGATTCATTTAGTCTGGGTACCTGAGCAATGACCACAGACATGGCCCCTCTTCCAACTTGCAAGAACATAAAACATGAAGAAGAAATCTAACCTTTGTTCTTTAATGCTATGGAGATTGTGGGGATGATTGTTTCCACAGCATAACCTAACTTACCCTGGCTGATGAGCTCACCTTCCACACTTACACTCTGTCACCAGAGGGGACTTACACGTTGTGGTCTTCACCCTGATGATCTCCATTGGCGCTGACAAGCATGTCGATGGAGCCTTCAGTTGCTTCAGAAGACTCTCCAAGTCTCTTTTCTCTTTGGAATCTCTGTAGGTCACCTGAAGTAACAGCTCATATTCCTGATCTGGGACTAAACAGAAAGATTGTCAGTTAGCAGTCTCTGGCTTTGCTGGGGGAAGACTGCTGAGGAAGTAGCTCAGAAGCAGTCAACAGATTCTGTTTAGAGGTCACAAGCTGAACCATGATGCTTGTTACTGAGTTCTGCTCATCCAGACACAGACTGAACATGAACATCCAGAGTGAACACAAACAGTTCATTTCCACACATGCCTAATATGTGTCTCTCCTCTCACTTCTGCCAGGTCAATGGTTCCAGTGCCCTCTGTCTCATCCAGACTGAAGGGAGAAGAATGAGAAAATCCTACTCATTATTCCCTCCTCCTCTCTCAGCCCTGGTCTCCTTGAAGTAGCTCTAACAGAAAATCCTCCAATCTCCCACTTTTCAAGGAACACTTTCTTCTCCTGTAAGAATGTTTCAATAATTAGCTGAATTTTGAATATTTACATGAAATAAAAAAGCAAAACAAAACTAAACCTTGACTCTAGTTTTTGTGTATCCTTATCTCCAGCTAATTATTTCTGGAATTAGAAAGTTTCTTTCTGCAAGGGCAGATCTGCTACACTTTTTGTTTCTGGTGTCCTCACTCTGCCTTCACATATTTTCACCCTTGCACCCAGATATATTTTCATCCTTGGATCTTTGTATGTGCTGTTTCTGGAGCCAGATTGTCTAGGTTTGAATCCTTCCTATAGTCCCTATCTCTGTGCCTTAGCTTCTCTATCTGTAAAATAAAGATGACCATTGTACCTAACTCTGGGGACTAATGTGAGCTTTCTAGTGTTTTTGACTGACTGAGAGAGAAGATGAATTCCAGAAGTCTTCTCCCACTCCAAATTCATTTTGGCACATTCACATAAAACTTGTTCTGAAATTTCTGTGGCTCATCTATGGATGACTCAGAGATCATCTCAGCTATTTCTCATATACTACCTATCTCTTTAAAGGCTTGAATCTCCTCCCAAGAGGTGAGAACAGGGGAAAAAATGATGCTGGTCACACTGTCAATGGTTAAAGGTAATGGTTCTGGACCCAGATTAACAGGGTTCAAATCCTACTTACAGTTTCTATCTCTGTGCCTTCAATTCACTAACTGTAATGTTGTACATTGGATGTGAGATGTCCTCCTGAAAAGTTTGTGTGGCAATGCATAAATGTTTAGAATATTTAGAAGAGGTGTAATGATTAAGAGATTTGTATCCTAATCTGGATTAATCCATTTAATGGATTAATAATTTGAATGAGTTACTGGGTGGTAATTTTATGCAGGTGGGGTATGTCTAGAAGAAGTAGGTCACTGGGATGGGGATTATATTTTGTTCCTGGCTCATTTTGTTCTCTCTCTCTCTCTTCTTCATAGCTGCCAAAAGGTAGGCAACTTTCTTCCACCATGTCCTTCCACCATGACATTTTGCCTCACCTTGGGCCCAGAGTAATGGAGTCCGCTGATGAGGAACTGAACCTCTGAAATCATAAGCCATCATAAAGATTTCCTCCTCTAAGTTGCTCTTGTCGGGTGTCTTGGTCACAATGACAAAAACCTGACTAACACAGTAAAATATAGATAATAGTCTTACTTCACTAGGGGGGCTGGTGTGAGGATTAAAGTACTTAAAATAGTGTTTGACAAATAATAACAACTCAATATTTTTTCTGGCATTTCTACTGTCAGGAAAAATGTATTCGCAGCATTCCAAGTTGAAATTTGTATTTCATTCTCCTAAAGAAATGTAGTGTGTTGTGGTGGTACGTTCTATGGTACTATTAGCACATTATTGTATAGCAAATTCATTGCATGGTTGAAAAATTTTTGTGGACTGACCCAGGAAACTTATTATTATCTATGTAGATCACCATTTGTATAAGGAAATACATTCTGTGCTTGAAACATCAGATCTGTGAATTAAATTTCAGAATACAACCCATTATTAGCCTGAGGGTTGTAACCATGAATTACATCACTATGACTAAGGCATAGAAGAAAAGGAAGCATATGGAGCTGCAATTTGCCCCAGGAATGGCACAAGATACATATTTTTATTACATCATTTAATCATCACAGATATCTTGCTCTTAGGAATTACCGTTATTCTCATTTCACAGGCATGAACTATTTTGTAATGTGCCTAAGATCATGCAACCAGTCAGAGGCACTGCTGGGGTTATAACTCTGTTATCTTGGAACTGAAGCCCACTATACCAGGCTATGGAGTCTTACCTGCCTTTTCCACACTGAGTACTCTTTTTGTTTTGATGCCATCATTTCTCTGTTAAAAAGAAGAGGGAGAAAAGATGGTTATGGTAAGGCTTTAGAAAGTTGAACATCATAAGGGTTTGAGTTTCCCAGATGAATTAAAATCTTGAATCTAAAATCTAAGCCAAGCATGGTGGAAAAGTTGCCCTGGAGATGAATTTGAGCAAAGACCTAAATCAGGCGAGGAAGTGTCAACCCTGGGAGAAACAGCTCTCCTGGCAGAGGGAAAACAAGTGCACAGGCCAGGGATAGGACTATGCCTGATGTGTAAAGGCAAAGCCCAGATGAAAGAGCAGCTGAGGGGGGCAAGTGAGAGGAGAGGAGGAGGAGATGAGTTTAGAACTCTGGGCAGGCAGGTTGTGTTGAGCTTTACCGGCTGCAGAAAGGGTTTTACCTTTTACTTGAGTGGGAGATGGAGAGTTTTGAACATGCTTTAATTTACTTTTTGGAAGCCTCAATCCTTACATCACATTGGAAATAAACAAGCAAAGGTGCAATGAGAGCATTTCAGGGGTTCTTGAAACAACACAAGGGAGAGATAAAGAGGGTGTGGAATAAGGTTGAGTCATGGAGACAGTGAGAAGTGCTTGGGTCTGGATGTATCTTAAAGATAAAGCAAATGATTTAGATACGGAATATGAGAACCATCACGCATGACACCATGTTTTTTGCCTAAGCAGCTGGAGAAGTGATACCACCTGCTGAGACAGCAAAGGAGGAATCAGTTTAGTGAGATAAAATCAAGAATTTGATTTAGATACATGAAGTTGAGAACCCTTTGGGTGCTCAGCTAGAGATAGCAAGTGGATGCGGGGTGTTTGTTGGGGGGGGGGGGCGGTTTCAGGGGAAACGTCTGAGATGGAGATACACATTTGAGAGTCATCAGCAGGCAGAAATCATTCAAACCTTGGTCCTGGAAAAAAGCATCAGAAAGGGAGTTGAGATAAAGGAGAGGGTTCAAACACTGCTCATGTCAATCCATATGCTTTTTTGTGTGTCCAAAACGCCACACTAGAGAGTGTTTGAACTAGACAAGTTTTCCAAGATGGTTTCAAAGATCATTGCGCAGGTTCGGTCATCTGAGATCCAAAGAGACGGAATAACTTATCTAAGACACTATATGTAAATGTTAATGTTGAGACAAGAACTCAGGACTTCTGATTACAAGTCCATTAAATTATGCAGCTTCAGTTGCCTGGAGAGTAACCAATCTAAAATTGCCAGAGGAGAGAGGAGAGATGATTGAAAAGAAAAATGAACATTTGCCAACTCACCCCAAGGAAGCTGCAGTGGCCCTTAAAGACAGTGAAGAAAGAGATGAGCCACAACACTCCAGCTCTCATTTTCCACAGTCCCTCTCCTCTCCCTGGACTGCACGTGAGCAGCCAGGTACATAGTCTATGACTGAACAGGCAGCGCACCACGTAAGGCTGAGATACAAAGACAAGAACTGCAAGTCAAAATGTAGAAATGCACACACCAAAGGGCCTAACTGAGCCTGGCAGTCCCCTTGCTTGTTTGAATAGTTTTCCACTTCACATAGCCTGTGACACCATTACTTCAGCTCCCATTTGGAACTAGTAAATTTCTGTCTTTTCAAGCTTAGTAGAAATTGTTGGACCTCTCTTCTAGGTGATCAAATTTGATTAAACAGAGACTTTTAAAATCATGACTTGCTTAACATTATAACTAGGTGCACTTATGTTTCACTGATACTTTCTTTTCATCTCAGGAAATAAAGAATTAAAATAACCCAAGATCCTGAGAACCAGAAATAAAAGGATAGATTTTGAATGTTTAAATTACAAAAATAATACTAAACCACTCCAGAAAATTTCCTTCCTTTTAGCTGATGTAATTAGCAACAAATCATTCTCAAACTTAAAGTTATCTCAAATAATTTGAACAAAACTCAGCACATAGAGGGTCACAAAATTAATCCTTCATACCCAAGTTTTTTGGTGTCAAAGAAAAATTATAATAGGTTAGAAATATCCTGCGCAATACAGTAGCAACTAACCACATGTGGGTCTCTGTATTTTAACTTTAATTAAAACATAAGTTAATTTAAAATCAGCTTCTCAGTCTTACTAGCCACATTTCTAATGCTCAATACCCACATGATGCTAGTGGCTACCATGTTGGGTGGCATACGATGAACACTCATGTCACTGCGAAGTTTCAATGGATAGCATATTGATAGGACTTGAGAGAACATTTCCCTATCTAAGGCCTTTCGACATTTCTTTTACACCTCCACAGGAGAAAATATTTTTAAAATGTAATTCCCACCATTGGAATAAGTGACCTTGATTAGCAGTACAGAGAACAAAGTGGGGCTGTCCCTTCCTTCCCTTCCCCTGATTCCTGTGTGCATTTTAAATGGCACACAAGTACTGCCATCCCCACCAGCTGTCCCACATTCTGCTCCCTGATCTAAAGAAATGGGAAAAGGCCTGAGAGGAAGAATAAGGACTATACAGCTGTTTTATAACAGAGACCTTTCCTAGGGTTTTCCAAGGAAGCATGAAAAATAAGCAACGTGACACATACAATTACGCATTTACTTTCCTTCTTGGGTGGGTTGGCCTTCTCAGGCCCCACCATCTTGCTCACTGAAGACTCCTACTAAATCCGTTGCACTAAAAATCTTTAGGCCATACCCCATGCTCCAAAACATTCTCCTAGGTTTTGCTTCCCAAAGCTTATCTACAGTGAGGCCTATTATCTCTGGCCTGTGCTTTCTACTTTCCAAATATGATGGATATTTGTCTCTAGAGAAGGATTTTTCAAACTTTTTGATGAGATCCCACAGAAAGAAATATATGTATAACATGAATATAGGCAAAACACATACAGATTTGGTTTTTTGTATCTGCTGGGAACTGGATCCATGATCCCTGAAAATATCAAAATTTGTAGATGTTCGGGCCCCTCAAATAAAATGCATAAAATTTGCATATCACATACCCACAGGTTCCCACATACTTTATTTAAATCATTGCTAGGTTACTCGTAATGCCTAATACAATGCAAATGCTATGTAAATAGTTGTTATACTATATTATTTAGGAATAATGACAAGAAAAAAGTCTCTATGTGTTCAGTACAGAAGCATATTTTCCCTTCATGTTGGTTGAATCCATGGATTTGAAACCATGCATACAGAGGCTGACTGTATTTTATTTTATGTGTGTGTGTGTGTGTTTGTGTACACACACATATATATATACATAAAAATCTGAACTGTTTCTGAGATGTGCCTTGAATACCTTCTATTCATTTTTATTTACTTTATTTTTATGGGTAAATTGCCAAGCCTAACTAAATTGACTTTACACCTCAAGAAGCACAGCCAGAACGCAGAGGGAGTTTGGGTACTTTCCAGCCTCTTTCCCACCTTTCCTCACTTCCAGGGAAGATTCTTTAAATTTGAATTCCTACGTATTATTTGAGCCATGGTTTGTAGTTCTGGAGATGTCCAATAGGATCAGAGTGGTTTCAGTCAGTTTTTCAATGCTGTGACCTCAGGACTTGACAAGAACAACTTGAAGGAGGACTAGTGTGTTTGGGCTCATGGTTTCAGAAGTTAAGTCCACGGTCAGCCCACTCGAAAGCTCTTGGCCCAAGCTGAAGTAGGACATCATGGCAGAAGGGAGTGGGGAAGGAAAGTGGCTCAAGGTATAGAAACTGAGGGAGAAATTCTGCTCACCAAAGACAAAATATAAACCCCAAAGGGATGCCCCTTCTAGTCACACTAGTTACTGTCCAGTTAGTCCATATCAGCTGATTAATCCACTAATGAGGTTAAGGCTTTCATAAGCTAATCATTTCACTCCTGAACATTTCTGTGTTGGCTCACACATGATCTTTTGGAGGGACACCATAACAAGTTTTGGTGCATGTGGGTGTCATCTGTTTTCTTTCATGCTATGGCCTGCTTCCAGATGAAAGTCCTGGCAGTCATATGGATCTCACCCTCTCCCTCTCCCTCTATCTCTCTGAAAATATCTTTCTTCCATGTGTAATTCAGGCTTGAGGCTGAAAAACAGCTCCAAAAATCCTGGCCACAGCTCTGGACATGATGAGGAATTTCTTACCCAGTCTCCTTATTTCCTCTTCCTCTCACTCTGCAGGTGTATCCTGGGCTGCCTCCTTGGATTCACAAGCAATGTTAACTATAGCTGACAGTCGGGGCTTGGACTAGTCTTTAAGCTGATCATAAATAGACAAACTATAAAGAAAGAAGAAGGGTAGAGAAAGAAAAAGAAGAGAAGAAAGAGAAGGAGAGGGAGGAAAAGGAGAAAACTTTTAGGAGCTCATTAGGAAATACAGATCTCCCTATCTCGTACTAAACCTCCTAAATCTTAAACAGGTTAGGCCCAACCATGTATATTATTAAAACTACACAAGCAATGCTCACATCCAGGCAGGTGTGAGAGCTGCTATTTTATACTGTTTCCAGGATAAGACAAATATTTATGACCCTAGGCTAGTCCTGTGATAGAAGTTCTGCTTCGGGATTTGGTACCAAAGCTTGAACCAATGATTTTTTTTTTTTTTTGGTTTTTTTTCTTTGGTTCTTTGGCGCATACAATTCCTTTTGGATAGAGTTTGAATATTTAGCAGATAAAAACAAGACACAAAGACAAATTCAAATTTCAAACAGATAATGAATAATTTTTAATATAATTATGGAATATTATTAATTATTACAAATTGTTATTTATCTAAAATTCAAATTTAAGTGAGCATTCTATAAATGAAAATCAAATTTGGAAAAAGATATCTCAAGGCACAAAATCAAAGAAGATCAGAGCAGACTCTGTAGCTAAACTGCCTAGGATTCAGGTTCTGGTTTTGACATTTATCATCTAGATGCCCTTTGACTTTTTCTGAGGTTCTTTATACCTTACTTTATTTATCTATAAGATGGGGGAAAAGTATCTAATTCATAGGTCCTTTGAAGAATCACACTAGTTCCTGCATATAAAATATCCAAAACAGTGCCTTGGAGGTACTAATCCTCAAGTGTTGTTGGACATTGTTAATCAATTTTCCATCGCTGGGGGAAAAAAAAAATACCTGGGAAAAACAACTTAAGAGGAAAGAGTGATTTGGGCTCATGATTTCAGTCCATAGTTGACGACCACCTGAGACAAGGCAAAACATCTGGCAAAAGGATGTGGTGGAGGAAAACTGCTCACTTTGTGACAGCCAGATGTGTGTGTGTGTGTGTGTGTGTGTGCGTGTGTAGAGAGAGAGACAGTAATGACCTATTTCCTCCAACTAGGCACCCCGCCCCCTAGAGTTTCCTATCAAAAGTTATTACTCCATTAATGGATTAATCCACTGATGAAGTCAGAGTCTTCATGATCTAATCTTTTCCTAAAAGTCCCACCTCTGAACATGGCTGCATTGGGGACCAAGTCTTCAACACCTGAGTCTTTGGGGGGAGGCTTCGTATCTAAATATTGGTGTTACTATTATTTCCATCTTATTGCCAATTTTTATAGTTATTTGTTGGAATGTGTTAGAATTAGATTTTAATTCTGTATCAAAATAACATATCAAAAATGGTGCTCCAGGCTTGATAGCCACCACTGTGTAAATGGAGAGATCCCAGCCTCCAGGCAATAGAAGGACATTTTCAGAGTAATTCAATGATCTAATTCAAAGGAAGGCCGTTAGCAGGGAGGATGTAGGAAACACATTGTGTTGTGTACAGAGTCATCATCACAGATCCCACAAAACTTTTCCTTTCCTAGAAATAAGCCCCATGGTACTTTTATCACTTGCCTTCCAGGCTAGAAAGATCCTGATCATTAAAAAAAAAATTCAGAATCCTTGTGTCCTTCCACAGATGAGGAGCTGTCGTCACCAGAGCATGGCTTATTTGCATCACACCTCACCTGTGGCAGCTGGAGGCCAGCTGGGCCTGACCTATGGCTGTATTAGCACTGGCTCCCATGAGAAGGCCTGGCTGTGGTGGCACCCCACCCTGACACTTCCTTGAATTCATGCGAGTTCATTTCTGATAAACCGTGTCCTTCAGTCTACAGTGAACAATCATCAGAATTTGCTATTATATGCTTCAGGAGATGGCAGCCCATTGTCCCCCTATTCTTTCAGTTATGTATTTATGGACTCCAAGTATCATTTATTTATGTCAACAGCTGGCTCCTGTGCTGTTCACATGCACACTTGCCAGCGTTTTTATCGACAATCTAATCTTAGGTATAGTGGAACTCTGAGGTTGCTTTTCTGGCTTCAGTATTTGTGGGATTATGTTTCATTCTCTATAAATAGAAGAGTTCTCAGTAGAATTGTCTCTTCTATCTTC